GTAGTACATGGCCTAGATTGTATCTGCCATGATTCCCCACCTACTTCTTTTTCTACATCCACTTCGTCTTCATTTTCTTCTTAGGTCCCAGCTCTTTATTTGCCATCCTGCTTTTATTTTTCCTTCTTTGGACATACATAGAGAAGGTTCCATCCCTGGAGAGGGGTTGACGAGAGCAAAAGGCCAACATGTAAATTTTCATCTTTGGCAATAATTAATAGAACCGAGATTATTCAGTTCCTGGGATAATGGCCCCAGAAGTACTAGTTTAGGCATTCCGTCGAACAGGTGGAGTCCCAAATAGCCCAGAAAAACAGTCACATACGAGGTTAGAAATTGCCCAATTACCCTTTTTCTCAATCTTCAAAGAAGGGTATTTCTCAAAACCAAAGGACAAGGCAAGAGGAAATCTACCCATTCGCATATCCAAATGCAGTAGCATCCGCCATGCATCTTCCAACGAGACAACAGCAAATGTTGAAATTCGGAGCGTACTATTAGGTACGTTTGTACAAATTGAAAAACATTTGAACGACATCGTATTGTTCTTTGCTTTTTTTTCTTTCTTTTGGTAAATGTATATTGTTCTTTGCTAGCTTACAAACTTATTAGGTTGGGCTTTTTAATAGGCCCTTTTCTCTAATTAATTAATTAATCGGGCTGGGCATTTTTAATTCCTTTCTAATTTGTTTTGACCCTTCTAGGCCTCTTTCTCTGTGTCTAAAGTGGGGGGAAAAATGGAAAAGAGAAGAAAATTGTGTCACATATTTGTAGCACATTTTTAACTCTAATCTTGTATATGATGATCCTGAACCAATTTCGAAAAAGAAAATAAGATGATGAAATCCGAAAGTGAAAAAGAAAAAGTAATAAAGATTAATTTGGTCCTGCAAAGGTTTACAAGATCAAAAAAACCAACATTCTTGACCAAAGGAACACAAAAGCACCTACACACTCATATTCACCTTAAGATTTCTGTTCCTTACAACCATCTTTAACTCAATTTCTAGTCGCCGAATAATCATGCATGCAGTCTATGTCGGTTTAAGTAATAATGACACTCTTGTAAATGAAAACGAGAGAAGTATACGATATTCTTCTTACAATTGTTTCTATTATTACTATTTTTTTAAGTTTGGACAGTCAAGATTTAAAGATATATTTTAATATTAATCTCTTTCTAGATAATTTTAAAAATATAATTATATTGGTTCAATGCATTTAATTTATAAAATGATACTTGTTTAATATTTTTTTATAATGGTTTTTATATAATTATAATTGATTTTTTTTACAATGGTGTTGATTTTTTCTAATTCAAGAATTGCTATCAATATATATTTATTTGTTTAATATTATCTTATATTGTATAAAAATATTAATTTTATAAATGCATTGTACTCATAGCATAGCTGAATGAAATTGAGAGGGTTATGTAATCCATCAATCACAAAGCAAAAATTCTAAACTTATTCATGAATACCTTGTTTTAGAAAAAAGGGATATTCGTGTCGGTTAAGGGTTCTCTAGCTGGACAAAGCATTGTAATGCTAAGAAACACTACATCGTCAAATCCATTAATCTTCTATATTAAGTCGGGTAATACAATAGATGTGATTGTCAGAAGCGTTCTCTCTATATCATTATATAGTTCTATTATATCCCTTTGACATATACTGATATGCAAAGGTTCTTAGTTCTTAATTATCTTATTTGTATGAAGCACTTAACTTTATGTGTTAATGTTATAAGTCCTTTCTTGCTTTTCTTTTTCTAAATTAACTTATACGACAAGATATAATCTGCTTTATAATTATTTTTCAATTATTAATACAATTATACTTCTTTTCAAAATAAAAAAAGAAAAAAGGATTTTGGTTAGCTTAGAAACATTTGATCCAATAGCTTAATTAACAACTAATTAATTAGTTGATATATTCCTTAATTTTGAAATCTTAAATCCAGAGTTAATTAAGGTGCAAGATTTCATAATACAACATTACATTTACATGCCGAGTTAATTAATTAACAGAGCAATTAGTACAAAAGAAAATCATATATAACTTATACTTGATCCTACCATGAACACGCAAAGATAGAGGTGGAACTAATTAATATTGTTCATGTAATTATCATAATGAATGGTTTGATCCCCTTGGAATACATAATCCGGTGAAGGCGGCAGCGGCGGCGC